ATTTTTCACATCTTGAGCTCTGTGGCTCCTAGAGAGAAGTTTCTCTTCTACGTCACTTAGAAACCTTTAGACTGTTTATGCACATCTGGAGCTGGTCAATTTTATCACTGAGTCCATTGTTATCTTTCACCGTATTCTGAGCTGCTAGAAGTTGGTTAATTTTATCATGAAGCTCATTCTTTTCCTTTGTCAATTTATCCAGAGATGATAGGAGCAACCAACCAGCATCATCGGTTTCCTTATTTTTCCACAAACCTGTTGCTTCTCACAATTGATGAATCATGACAATCAAATGCATTTGTCCACTTAAGTTTGCAAAATAGTTCACTCCAAGTACTCTTCAAGTTTCCAGAAGAGGCTTTAGTAACTGGAGAGACTTGAGTAACTATAGGTTTTGGCAAGTTGGAAAGCCTATTCCAGGTACTTTCAAAATTCATCCTTATATTTCTGCTCCTCTAGAACCACTTTTGGCACCAAAATCTGTATTAGTCAGGGTTTTCTAGAGGAACAGAATTGATAGAATGAGTCTGCATATATACTATATTCTATAGATAGATATATGTAAAGGGGATTTATTAGAATGGCTTACAGTCTGTGGTCCAGCTAGTACAACAATAACTGTCTGCCAGTGGAAGGTCCAAGAATCCAGTAGTCGTTCAGTCCATGAGGTCTCAGCTGGTCTTCAGTACACACTGGAATCCCGAAGAAGTAGGCTGTAATGCCAGTGAAGAAATGGACTTGCCAACAAGAGTGAGAGCAAGCAGGCAAAGAGATCAAGCTTCCTTCTTCAATGTCCTTTATATAGGCTGCCAGCAGACAGTGTGGTCTAGATTAAAGGTATACCTTCTCATCTCAAAAGAGCCAGATTAAAAGTGGGTCTTCCTACTTTGAATGATTTAAGAAAAAAGCCCCTCACAGGTGTACCCAGCAGCTTCGGTTTAGTTAATTCCAGATGTAGTCAAGTTGACAGTCAAGAATAGCTGTCATACCTGGGTACTGATTTTGGACTCATGTTCTGCAGAGCCCAGCAGGAGTGTGCTGGAGAATGGGTTCAGATGGTACAGCAGACCTGGAGCCTTGACAAGGGCCCAGTGAGAGGCCTGCCAGGGACCCAGCCACACTGAACTGGACCTTGCAATCTTTGTCTTTGTCCCTTTCTATCCTCTGTGCCTGAGTGGTGTTTACATCTGTATAATGCAGCCTTGTGAGCTATTTTTAAGTCCACCTGGAGCATTCTGCTGCTTACTCTGATTGGGTCTCTGTGGTTATTGGTAACACTGTTTGCTAGAATAGACTGCTGGTCTGTCTTAAAATAAAGCTTTACTATTTGTTAAAAAGATTTAGTCTTTGGCTTTGTGTACCTATTTGTGGTAAATTGTTGATTTAATCCAGTCCAAAAAAGTATTTATAATTTTTGAAATAAAATCTTAAGAATATACTCAAAAGATCAGGCTTTTAAAACTAAGGATTTTCTTATCCTTTTGAGATTACAATATAACTGTATCATTTTCCCCTTACCTTTCCTTCCAGACCCCTCTATATATCCCTCCTTGCTCTCTTTCAAATTCATGGCCTCTTTTTTTTTTAATTGTTACATGCATATAAGTATATATGTGTGTATGATGCATAAATTTCTAAGTATATAACTAGCTTAATCTGTATAATGTTATTTGTATATATGTTTTTGGGGCTGGCCATTTGGTATTGGATAACCAATTGATATCCTCTTCCCTGAGAAGACTATTATATTTCTAGGCTGTTTTTGAATTTTGTCTCACTGAACTTGTAGATGATTTCTGGATCAGATTATTGGGCCATCATTGGTATGAACATATTCAGGCTTGATTGTTTCCATAGTAACTTTCCCCTTCTTATTTGCATGTATATTCTTGTTCTTTAGGATTCAATAATGAGAGTTTTAAGTGTTTTTTTTTCCCCCAAGTTTTGTTAGTACCCATTTTGCTCAGCTCTTTCCTAATGTATCAGGCACCTACTCCAGATTCTAGGGACCTGATGGAGATGATAGCCCCTGCTGGTTCAGAAGGGGACAGGAAACAATAGTGAGTGGCAGTCAGATTCTGCCATAGAGTAGAAGCCCCTCTAGGGCCAATAGGACTGCAGAGGAGCTTTGGATTTGAGTCAGGATGTACAGAGGCTGGGGAAAGGGAGTTGCAGTTGCAAAGATTTTCAAGTGGAAGTGCTGAATGTCATGGCTGAGGAGAGCAGTGTCTACAGCCTCACTTCTGGGGTTGAAGGGGGCACAGGATTGTCAATCCAGAGTGCAGTGATTCTGGGGTCTTCCTAAGAACCAGAACCCCTGAACAGATTTTGGCAGAGAGATACATGGTCAGAGTACATTTTATATTCATTACTTGATATTGGTGAGCTGGTAGAAGGCTGCAGCTATAGCTCTGGAAACAGACTCAGCCAAAAGGCAGTGGAGAGAATGGCCCCCAAATCAACATTGCTGTGGTATACTGAGTGTGGGACACCATGGAAAGGTTTAGGGATGGCTTGCAGCCCATCTTTGACTGGACATGCTGTACTTTTGGGTCTGGCCAGCTCTTAATGGAGATGCAGAGGTATTGACAGATGAAAGTATGATATAGGTAGATGACCACTGCATGACAATGTTCTAACAAGCTGATGTGCTATTACTTCATCCATGCACACATTTAATTTAAAACATTTTTAATTTTATGTGTAGGAGTGTTTTGCCTGCATGTATGTCTGTAAACCACGTGTGAGCATGGTGCCATGGAGGCCAGAAGAGGGCGTTGGATCCCCTGGAACTGGAGTTAATATGGTTGGGACCGGCCATGTTGGTGCTAAGAATTGAACCTGGGTCCTCTGGAAGAGCAGCTCAGTGCTCTTAACCACTGAGCCACCCCCCACCTACCCACACACACACAATTATAGGTTTGGATCTTCATTTAGAAAGGTTTCTACACAGGCCTATAAAAGACTGATCTCTACTCATATCAGCCTCACAAAGCTGGTGGCAATGTCTAATACCCAGTCTTACATTTCTGTAAGGATTCTTTTAGGTTGTTCAAGACAGGGTTTCTCTGTGTAACCCTGGCTGTTCTGGAACTCACTCTGTAGACTAGGCTGGCCTCAAACTCACAGAGATCTGCCTGCCTCTGCTTCCTGAGTGCTGGGATCAAAGGTGTGTGCATTGGTCTTTTTGCCTGAATGAATATCTGTGAGAGGGTGCCAGATCCCTTGGACCTGAAGCTACAGTTGTACACTGCCATGTGGGTGCTGAGCATTGAACCCCAGTCCTCTGAAAGAGCAGCCAGTGCTCTTAACTTCTGAGCCATCTCTCCAGCCCCTCTGTAAGGATTCTTCCAGTGACCTCTGTTGAAGTTTTTAGTTGTTTGGTTTTTTTATTTTTGTTTTTGTTTTTTGGTTTTTGAGGACAAGGTTTCTCTGTGTTATCCCTGGCTGTCCTGGAACTTGCTTTGTAGACCAGGCTGGCCTCAAACTCACAGATCTGCCTGCCTCTGCCTCCCAAATGCTGGGATTAAAGGTTTGCACCATCACTGCCTGGCTTAGAGTTTTTGTTTTGCTCATCCTGTTTCTCCCTCACTATTCAACCATGACTTATGAACTGTATTTGATTCTGCCCTTCAGTCTAAGCGACTAAAGTTCCATCATCCCTGTTTATAGTGGCATTGAGGTTTGAAGAGATCTGGCCAGTGGTCTGAAATGTCCCCTTCTTGATTTGGGTTACTGGTGATTTTTTAATTATAAAGTAATTTCAGACATAAATATCACAAGAACCCATCTAGGCTTTCACAGTGTACCAGGTTGCTTGTGTGTCTGAATGATCTGATAGAATTATGGATGCCATCTTATACCTTAGTTCTCCATTGTTTGCCTTTTGTACATTGTCTTACATAAGCAGAACAGTAGCATGTGGAGCATTGGTGGGCACTGTTACCTAGCACTGTTAATGTTTACATTTTGTTCCTTGTCCCAATAATGTCCATCTCCACAGCTGTTTCCCTGGTTGGGATCTAGTCCAGGGCCACTGGTAGGTAACATTTTATTGTGGTGTGAAAGGCTATTAGGGATTTGTGGCTATGAACCTCAGCAAGGGTTCAAGGCTGCTGAGCCCCACTGCCATGGCTCATCTGCTTTGCCTTCCTCTTGTCACCAAGGGAGGGGTCCTCTTTGCTATGAAGTCATACCTTCACTTGGTTATTCCCAGACCCTGTCCTGACACACAGGTCCTGACCCCAAGCATTTTCCTCTAATTAATGAAAACCGACGCTATTTTTCCTAGTGTCTTAGGGAACTCTTTAGGTCCGTAGTCCCCTGCTAGCACTGCCTTGTTCTTTGCCCTTCCTGACTGATAGCTCAAAACCACCCTATGTGCCCTCTAAACCTCACCCTTCTCTGAGGTCTCCTCTTACAAGCCTTTTATCACTGCCCCCACAGTGTTCAGCCAGAGAGGGGTCCAGAGGGGTCCTGAAGACACCCCTTGGCTTTCTGCACTGGCCTCTAGGACATCACCTTCCTGGGGGTCCACACCTCTGAGTCTGTCTTTTCCTTAGCTTTTTAATTATGGACCATTCCTAGCTTAATCTGGGAACCTGGACCTGAGCAGCCAAGGCAGGTAAAATGTCTGCCCTTTGCTGTGCAGTGTCCACTGTTTGGGTAGACAGTGGTGTGCCTTCCTGAGTATAGAGCCCCTCCATCATCCTTTCTAGTCTAGACTCAACCTTTTGCTCTCAGGGTAGGGAAGATGCCCCTTGCAGAGACTGCACCCAGTCTTTTTGAGTACCATCTTCCTTGCAGAGGTTCTGAGGCCCTCATGGCAAGACTCTTGAGGGTCTATGCCTACCATTGACAGCTGGCAGCCCCTGGCCTGTTTGCCTTCCAGTACTGCTGTGTCCCATGCTCTGATATGCATAAACCAGAAGTTGTTTTGTGTATATGATGGAGAATGTGGTCCATTTAACTTCATCCTTTATGATCTCATCCAAGTACAGCCCCTGCTGCAAAACAGACCCACACCAGGTAAGTGTCATTTATGCAGCCTGTGGGGTGGCCCTGCCTGGGTGCACTGGGGAGCTGAACTCTCTCTACCACTGACTTCACCAGATGCTGAGGTCCAATGTGGAGTTGATACAGCAGGTAATAAACACAGCTTCCCAGAGAAGAAGAAAAGACTGCCACTAGCATTGGATGGGCTCTGCAGTGTGGATGAAGAACCCAGAAGCTAGAGCTTTTGCTGAGGCTGATATAGTGCCATTTGCCACAGCACAGCCTGTGTTCAAGGGCTCAGGGTTGGGACATGTAGCTTGATGACTACAAGTTTCTAAATGTCCTCATAAGAGCATGGTTGGCACAGATGGAGCAGTAGGAAGCCAAGAGATAGAGTCATACTTCTCAGATACTCTCGAATTCTCAGGAAACTACTGTTACAAGATTTTTTTCCCCCCTCTAGAACATGCCACCAGAAGTACCTGTCCGCCACCCAGCAAGTACATATAACTTATATGTCACTAAGTGGCCAAAAGTATGCAGTGCTCTGTTCTAAAAAAATAAAGTGTCTTGCACAAAATAACCCTGTACTCCTTGTCCTGCTCTGTGCCTGCCTTGCCCATGGACTATTCTGGGTCCCTCCTTGCTGAGGGCTGTGCTCCAGCTTCTTTGATTTATTCTGTATGCATTAATATTTTTTGTCAAAAGTTTGCTTTTTATTAATTAAATACCCATCCTTCCTCTGTCCTTCTGTCCTTCCCAAATTAAAAATTTATGTTCTTTAGTCTCTTCCTAACGAGTGCATTTAAAGCAAACATTTCTTTTTTTCTTTGTATTAGTGTTAGGAAACAAGACCTCATAGCTCATGTAACTCAGGCTGGCCTCAGACTCTGTGTAGCTGAGGTTGACCTTGAACTTCTGGTCTTCCTGCCTTTTCTTCTCAAGTGCCAGAATTACAGGCAGTTTATGCTGGGGATTGGACCCAGGGCATGAATACCCTCTCAACTCCACCTTCCTCTCAGGTCTACTCCCAGAAGCAGTTAGTTACTGTTCCCATACTGTTCAGCCAGAGATGGGCCCAGGTGGGCCCTCAAGACATCCCTTGGCTTTCTGCACTGGTTTCTAGGACATCACCCTCTTGGGGCCAAGGATGTGACTCAGTGGTAGAGTACTTGCAAGGCCCTGGGTTTGATCTCCAGTGCTGGAAAACAAAACAAGACAATGAGATACCACTTCAATATTGGTCAGGAGAACAAAACAAAATCTGAAAATAACCAGAGTTAGGAAAGATCTGGAGGAATTCTAACCCTTGTGTGTGCCTTGATGGTGAAATGTGAAGTAGTGCGGCTACTGTGGAGAACAGTATGGTAGTTCTCAGAACAGAACTGCCAAAAGACCCAGCAATTCCACACACAGTGTAAATCCAGGAGATGGAAAACAGGAATCAAACTGACATTTGTCTCTGAGCATTCACAGCAGCAGTGCTTATCAACAGAGAGTGGACAAGCAGAATGTTTTGTGGACACCCATGGCAATGTTCAGCCATGAGAAGGATTGACGGTCTGGCACCTGCTGTACGGACACTCCTTGACAAACTGGGTGAGATAAGCTAGTCACCAATGTGAGGTCCCTGGAATAGATCTGACTCAGAGATGGAAACTTACTGGTGTGTGTCAGGGCAGGCAATGGGATGCCATGGTTAATGAGGACAGTTTCTGTTTGGAATGATAAGAGACATTTTGGAAGAAGCTCTGGTGACGGACACTGTACTGTGTTCTTATGCCCTGGAATTGTAAACTTGGAAGTGGTGAAAACACCAAATTTTACTATACATATTTACCAAAGCAGGAACATACAAACCTAGATTTATGAGTCTACAACACTATACATAAAAAAAGAAAAAAATTCTAAACTTGAACAAAAACAATGGAACAGTGAAGGCCCACATCCATGAACCCAACCTCCTCTCACTTTAGTGAATTCAAGCACTTCCTATTTTCATTTGTAGACAGCTATTCCGATGTCTGCCTCTGCACTCATTTGTGTATTTGAATTGAAATCCAAATACTGATCTCTTTCCTCTCAGGGTCACTTATCTTGTAGGAATTCCCACATTCTGCATTTCACAAATTCATAGAAATGGTTAACTACTTGTTTCCTGCATCTTCAAGACTAGCCTTCTTGAGTGTCTCCCCCACCCTCCCAATACTTGGGCCATCAGACTTGGTGTAGCTATCTGGTAACATTGAGGCAAACCCTGTGTTTAGGGGGCCAGCCGTGTGGAGACTTTAGACCTAAGGCCTTTTAAAAGGCAGGGGAAGCCGGGTGAATAAGCAGAGACTAGCAGCCTGCAGGGAGTTGCTCTTGGTCTCACTGTGTGCAGGGACTGTACCTAGTCCTTGGCTGACCAAGGATCCTCACCAGTGTGTATGAAGGGACAGCCACCGACCTGGATACTTAACAAATTATGAAAATGGTACATTTTATGTTTTTTAACCATAAAAATGGCCATTTTGGCATATACTCAGACTGAGAATTTATTGGAAAATCTTTTTAAAAAATAGTGTAACCGCTGTTGAGGGAAATTTTTGTTTTTTCCTGTTTTCTCACATACCTGCTCACCAAGGTGTGACATTTGTAATACCTTAGCTCATACTTTGAGATACTTTACATGGCTCCTAATTTCAGCCTCTTGTGCTTTTGAAACTAGCAGCGTTCACATCTTTGAACTCAGTGCATTAATGATCACTTCTTGACTTTAGGAATTTGAGAGCGTGTTTTGCGGTAAGACTGGCAGAAGGCTAAAGCTGACCAGACCCGAATCCCTGGTGACCTGCCCTGCACAGGGCAGTCTGCAGAGCAGCCCCGCCATGGAGATCAAGTGACTGGACTGACCCAGGACCTGGGAGAGAACTGCCGTTCTTTCGGCATCATACACATGCCTGCCATCCCAGAGCTCAGCTCTGAGTCCTCAAGAGGGATGCAGCTCCAGTTGGTGGGACTCCAGTAAGGACTTTGAGAGCACATTTTGTGAAAGTATTTATCTAAACAAAATACTTACCCACTAATGTCCAGATGACCTTTTGAGGATGAAGACATCTTGATAATTAGTAATTTTTCAATTACCTGTCCGACACCATCATGTGTTCTTAACATGATAACTTAAAAAAATTAACATCCTTGGTAATTTCTTGAGTCTCAAGACTAAAGAAAACATTGCCGTTTACTTATTTTGTTTACTTTTTAAATACGCCCCTTTAGCAATTGGAAGAAGATAAATTGTTCTTAACTAGAAGAGGTTTGGAAACTTTATTTCATTTGTTCTATCACCCCCTATATTCCAGTCTCATGGTACTCTGTATTGGAAAATGCAGTGCCATTTTAAAACTTTTTGCTAAGAATTTTCCAGAGACTTCCTTTAAAGCTCCTTTTGCCCATAAACATTTTCTCAGTAGATTGCTTCAATGCCCACATTTCCATATTGTGAGTCATTGCTTTATGTGTAATAAATTGTATGTTTGGAACAGAGATTTCCAGTGAGTAGCTTTATTTATTGTACAGACGGTGCAGTGTAGTTCCTTCAATAAATACTGGGAGCCAGAGATAGTAAGTTTGTAATAGAAAGCAGGTGAAGTAGACATTAAGTTCCTCACCTTCATCACACTGTAGCCAGTGCTAATCTGAAGGGTTAGCAGATTGCTTTATTGGTAGTCTATTATAGGCTTTATATAAATGTTATGTAAACAAGTCTCTGAGTGTTTTTATCTCATGAAATTGTACACACACAAAAAAAAGATACACCATCCCTTCCAGATGCTTGGTTTAAAGTCTCCATCTCTAGGGCCTGTGCCTGAGGTATGCTGTCACAGATGAATTGACTGCCATTAATCCTGCAGATGGGACAGTGGCAGTGGTGCCAGTAGATGCTCTTGGGGGCCCAGGCAGCAGGCCAGGAAGGACTAGCTGACTGTAACCAGCTGTACTGTCCATTTCTAGTAACCACACGAATGGTACCTGCTGCCTGCTGGAGTTCGTTACCCGTCATTTCCTAACGTTGTTTATGAGTTCCGAGGACCTGACTTTTCCCCACCCCCTCCTAACACAGCTCCTTGGCAGGCTGAAGTGTCACAAATCCCTGGGGTTCCCTGAGCACCAACAGCTCCAGGAAGGCCAGGATCACCAGGAAGGCCAGGCTCACCATGAGCACCATCTTGACCATCTTTGCTGATACCAGGTACACCTTGAGGCCCTAGAAACCAGAAGAGTGCAGTTAGAGACCATGAGAATTCCAAAGCAGCAGCCATTCACAGTCTACTTGGAAGATTCTCTAATTGGCTTACTTCTGAACCCTTCAAAAGGTCAGAGATGGGGCACTTGGGCACAGAGTCCAGAAGAGCAGAGGCCAAGACAAGTGGCTGGGCAGAAGGTAAGCAGGTACAGCTGCGGCCAGGCTAGCCAGATAGTCTTGTGTCCTGAAGACACAGTGCATTCTGGTCCCAGAAGGGCTTGTGGGGTGCATGTCAAGCATATTTGGAGGAGCTGGAGAGATGGTCAGCAGTTAAAAATCACTGGCTCTTCTTCCTAAGGTCCTGAATTCAAATCCCAACACTCACATGATAGCTCACAACTGTCTATAACTGTAGTCTCATGGAATTTGATGCCCTTTCCTTGTATGAAGCTGTACATGCAGACAAAAACAGTTCTATACATAAAATACATAAATAAACCTTAAAAATAAAAAAGAGCATATTTGAGGTTGGCAGGCAGCCTGGGAGGAAGTTGGGGAGCTTTAGCTAGGGGTGGTAGGCCATAGCCATTTACCAACATGATATGACCCAAATGTGAGGGCACAGTTGGGAGTGGCAGCTTAAGGCAACATAGGTGGCATTGTAGCCTGGGGTGGCCGACAGGATAGTCAGGACGGCAAACAGTTGTGGCAGGGGTGCTACAAAGAGAAGGGAGGGTGTGCCTCAGGGAGAGGGTAATGAGCCTTATGAGGTGGGGGCACCTTTCAAAGGAGAGGGGTTATGCCTCACAGAGGAGGCAGCCAGAGTCACCCAAGCACATATGGCTAGAGGAACCCAGAGAGGAGCATTCCCTGGGATACATAGTTGCAGATGAAATTCCTCAGGAGGCCTGTAGATGGTGTGAATTCATCCTCCCACTTCAGCCTCTAGGGTGCTGAGATCACAAGTATGCCACCACACCCCCCAGCATTCAGTTTTTTTTTTTTATGTTAAGACACTGAAGCATGGCAGGCAGAATGACTCAGCCGGTAGAAGTATTTGCCTATGAAGCCAGTAACTTGAATTGAATGTCCAAAACTCATTTAAAAGTAGAGGAGAACTGACTCCACAAAATTGTTGTTTGACATCTGTTGTAGAATATTGCTTTAAGGTGTGCTACTTTTGTTTATGTTGCATTTGTTTAACTCTGTGAGGTTGTGTTACTGTGCCTGTCTAAAACACCTGATGGTCTAATAAAGAGCTGAATGGCCAATAGCAAGGCAGGAGAAAGGATAGGCGGGGCTGGCAGGCAGAAAGAATTAACAGAAGGAGAAATCTGGGAGAGGAGAGATCTAGGAGCGAGAGAAGGAAGAGGACATCAGGGGCCAGCCACCCAGCTACACACCCAGCAATGGAGCAAGAGAGAATGGAATACAAAAATAGAGAAAGGCAAAAGCCCAGAGGCAAAAGACAGAGGGGTTAAAGTTAAGAAAAGCTGGAAAGAAACAAGCCAAGCTAAGGCTGGAAATTCGTAATTAATAATAAGCCTCCACGTGTGATTTATTTGGGAGCTGGGTGGTGGGCCCCCCAAAAGAGTAAAAGAAAAATCCAACAATAGAATCCACATGTGTGTTGTAGTACATATGCATGTATGTGCACACATGTGTGCACCAGCACATGCATACACACACAAAGTAAAAAGAAAAAAATCATTCAATGTAAATATAGTCAATTAAGAGAGATAATTAGCTGGGCAGTGGTGGCGCACGCCTTTAATCCCAGCACTTGGGAAGCAGAGGCAGATGGATCTCTGTGAGTTTGAGGCCAGCCTGGTCTACAGAGTGAGATCCAGGACAGCTAGGGATGTTACACAGAGAAATCCTGTCTCAAAAAAACAAAAACAAAATGAAAAGAATAGAGGGAGATAATTTTCTGGAATAGACATTATATTTAGTAAAATAGAAATTAACCAAACCTACTTAGCTAAAATTAGATACAGAAAAATTATTGATCACTTATTATTACTGATTATCCATTATTTCTATATACAAAAGAGATTATAAAAGCAGTTCTTTAATGCTTTACTAAGTGAAAAACATTTCCAGCCCTCCCCGAGAAGAGCTGTGTGAGGACAGTGGCCTACCTTGGGGCCCCTGGTCCCCAGCAGGTCCATCCACTCCTGCACCCGTTGTACCCTTGTCTCCTCTGTCACCCTGGCTTCCTGCAGTGAGGAAAGACATAGACATGTCAGAATGGCTGCCCATCCACAATGATGGCCTTATCTATCTTGTTTCCACAGAGCTAGCTGCTTTTAAGTATTCCCTGAAGCGAGGCTGTTCACCAAGGTGCAGCTTAGCAGAAGTCTGACCGGAGTAGCACACCTACATCCCCAACACAGCAGCTGACACCATCCTTACCTCCAAAATCACTGATGGAATTTTACTTTTGTTTGAAAAATGTATGCCTCTGAAACAATTGTGTTATTTGATGTTCATGTTTTCAATATGAGTTTTGACCCACAGCTTATCAAAGGATACTTTGTTTTAATTTTTTTTTTTAATTGAGACAAGGTTTTAGTCTGTGATCCAGGCCTGGAGCACACTATGCAGCCCATGCTGGCTTCCAACTCAAAGTGATCCTCCTGCCTCATTTTTTCAACTGCTGGGATCACATCTGGCATTAGCATGTTTTTAAATATCCCCTAAGTGTTCTTCAAAGCTTTCATCTCTGTTTTGGTCTGGTCATGGTCACACAGGGCAGGAGCAACAGTGCCATAATAGATCACTTACCCAGCATGCACAAGACCCTATATTAAATTCCCAGCACCTCAAGAACAACAAAAGTAAACAGCAAGCAGCTTCCAGTGGCAGAGATACAGCAGCATTGGTCTTCTGGCTTGAGTTCTAGAGCATCAGACACATGTGTGGGTGTGATCACGGTGCAAGTCTAAGGCTATTGCTGCTTGCTGGACTATTTTACACTCCTGCTGTTGGGAGTGGTGCTGTGGTCTGCAGTTGCCAGTGGTCTGCAGAGGCTGCCCCACTACTGGGGGTTTGATGCCTTCAGACACCCACTGGTTCCATGTGGTGAACCTCAACAGAGGATTCAGCATTGTGCTTTCAGGGAGGGGAGAACAGATACAGCAATGACCATGGCCTGAGCTTGATGTCTGAGAAGGCCTAATCAGATATGTACATTCTCTACAGTGGGCTCATGGCATCCTGATGCACACTCAAACTTAAAAGTGCCTAGTACCTCACACAAAGTGGACAATGTGGCATATCCACTTTCAAACAGAAATCAGGTTTGTGTTGCCATCCCAGCAGGCTTCCTGAGACCTTGGGTGTCTCTGTCATGGCCTTTAGTGTCCAACTGTTTTTCTCATCATCTATACAGGCACATAATGCTCTAAATTTTATTTTCAGTCTAGAAGGAATTCAGATACCCGTTTGGAGAAAATCCTATGTTTTTAAAGATGGCAGTCACAGATGGCACAGACTGCCTGAGAAGACCACACTCTGGAGAAATGACCAAGAAAACAGTCATTTGAAAGTTGATTTGGGACAGACACCGCACTGAGAAGAGATGAATTCTCCACGTTTGCCCTCCAGTGTTGAAATTCCTCAATCTCCAAGGATTTTAAAAACAGGTAAAAAAAAAAATGATATGCAAATTATACCGAGTCTATCAACCTACCAAAGTTTTATGTGTAACCTTGGAGAAGACGAAGGACTCAGAGAATAACTTCCCATACAGATTATTTTCTTAAGCTACTTTTGGGGAGCAGGGAGCTCTTGGCCAATCAATCAGATTGGTGGAATCAGGGGCTTAAAATTTGTCACCAGGGTCACATGAGGCTTGAGAGGTCTGCATTTTAAAATACAAATTGCAAAGGTTTTTGGGAAAGGCTAGTATCCATCAGTTCATTGTGTCATCAGAACCCCCAGTTTGTCTCTGATACCCCAGCTTTCTTCAAGCAAGCTGTCCACAGTATGTGCTGGTAGCTATGACACCAACAGACAAGTCATGAGGTCTGGCCTGTCTCTTCCTTTCAAAGGCTCCTTGATTTATATCATCTTAAATACGGTTTGAATGAGTTGTTTTTAACTTTTGCAACTGACATTGTCATGTACTACCAGTCCTCATTAAAGTCTGAGCTCTTGAGTGAAAATGGGTTCCTATTATTTATTGCTCACATCTCCAACAAATTTTGTCCTGGTGGTATTTGGGGAAAATATCACATTCGGATTACTGTGCTTCCTACAGAATGGTAAGAAATTACCTGTGGTGCCCTCAGAAGCACAAAGACCCAGCCCTCTCAGAGTCTCCCTGAATGAGTCCTGCTGTGTATATGGTACAGCCAGGTCGTTGATTGCATCTTGATAGCATTTCTAGGTGAGCTATGTAGACAGTAGCACTGGGGGGCACTAGGCCATCCTAAATGTGTGTTGCTCTCAGGTCTTATGACCATGAGGCCAATCAAGAGCAGAAATGGCAATCTCTCATTCAGGTGACGTGGACCTGAATATCCCTTGAGTGCTCTCCTCCCTGGACCTCAGGAGGAAGACATCTCAGCAAGGGAGGGCAGGACCATGCTGTTCAGCACTGTCAGAAGTGAGAGTTTCCTCATGTGGCTGAGACAGTGCCATCACAATGGCATGACCATGTCTTGCTCGGGTCAACTACTTACCTCTAGGTCCAGGATCTCCCAGCTCCCCAGTGGGACCTCTGTATCCAGGGGGACCCCGAGCACCAGGGTGGCCAATGGATCCTGGGGGACCTGGGGGGCCTGGGGGGCCAGCTGGACCAGGCCTGCCGATGGAGCCTGGTGCTAAGGGCTTCCTCAGGTGTGCAGCCAACTGTGCGATTTGCTCTTTTGGAAAACAGGGTGCCAAGAATGTACTTCAGAGAGGATTATCAAAATATTTTCATGCAAAGTATAACATAGCCAGCTATCTTTCAGAAGGGAATTTTCAATTACTGACCAAAAATGGTTATTAACTGCTCTAGGGTATGCTGGGGGAAATGAGAGTCCCCTTCTCTCAGAACACCTCACATGCTAGATGAGAAGTTCAAAGTCATACACGGAAGGAAGCGTCCCTCCCAGCCAAAGGGCACAGTGGTTTGTTTCTTCCTTCTAATTGTTTTTTGTTTTTTGAGACAGAGTTTCTCTGTGTGCCCCTGGCTGTGCTGGAGCTCTTTTAGACTAGGCTGGCCTCGAACTCAGAGAGATCCGACAGCCTCTGCCTCCCAAGTGCTGGGATTAAAGGTGTGCGCCACCACCGCCCAACTTCTTCCTTGTAACTGTTGCACTCAATAGTTAGTTGGGGCTTCTCTGAGTACCCTGCATTGTGGTAAGCCCTGGGAAGAGGGGTAGCCCTCCTTGAAGTCAGAGTACAGGCAGGGTGGGCAGGACAGTGGCCAAGGGGAAGAAGCTGTGTGAGGGGTGGAGGGGTGTACCGGAGACTCACCGCTGATCATCCCCCCACACAGCTCCCTGATGCGCTGTTCACTGGCTTCCTTGCCCTGAAATTCACCCAGGTTCATCAGCAGGTGGGTCAGTGCACCAGTAGCCCTGACATACCCAGCACCTCACTCCCAAAAGAACTGATAGTTCACAAAAAAACATGATCCAAACCCAGTACAAGTCCAACACCCACAACACAAGAGAAAGGAAAAGCCACGAACCGGAACTCCAGGCTTCCCTGTGATGCCTGGGACACCCTGCACGCCTTGGAGGCCCAGTGGACCTGGGGGACCAGGTACACCCTGGACTCCACTGGTGCCATTGGGGCCCTGGATACCTTTGGGGCCCAGTTCCCCTCGGCTTCCAGACTGCAGAAAAACAAGAGGAAGGGGGTCAGAGTGAGCCCTCCTTGGGAAGGCTTGAACCTCAGGAGTGAGTAGCCACCAGATCTTAGATCTAGGCAGTACCTTACAGGGCAGCTGCCCACCCAGAGGTGGATGGGAGCCTGTGGGCTCCTTGGATTTGTTGTCTGCCAGATACTCACCTCTCCTTTTTGTCCAACGGGGCCACTGGGACCCTGTGAAGAGGAAGTAAGCATATGCTTTAACTATGGTGTGTGTGGAGTGGCTGTAAAAACTGACCTAGCACATGATCAGTGGAGGACAGCACTCAAGCTAACACTCAAGCCGCCCTCCCCCACATGCACACACTGGCAAGGCTCTTCCCTTTCACCTGCTGATGCTATTTTAACACCTCTTTCCCCTGAAATTTGATTTTAGTGGCTGCATGGTATCTGCTCTTACACCTGTCTGGCTTACTTCCTCCCAGTCTCTTCACTACAGTATTATAAATGCTGAGCTGAATTTCTCCTCCCTGGAATTCTGGGCCTTTCCCTAGCCGGGGCCTTAGAAATGATTGGCCCCAAGTGTGTAAGTGGACTGATTGGGCCCATCTATTGGCTCTGCTCACAACTGTGAGCTGACTGTCCACAGCTAAAGCAGGAAAGGACAGAGGGTGAGGTCCCCACCTGGCTCACCATTATGGTAGCTGGCACCACGCAGAGGTTGCTAGCTGGCAGGCAGGGACTGTCCCACATAGCCACTGCGTACCACTCCATCAGTTTAAGAGTGATCAGGTGGGGCTGATTCTAAGGCTCTGTCAAGAATTTGCCAAAATAAAGTACAATCAACTAGGATTATTTGCAAAAGGCCTAAGAAGTTCACAGTGGCCAGTGGTTGCTACCTGAAGGCAGGATCCCTATAGCTGGGCTTTCTCTGTGTCACTTGGACAAAAAGGAAAGACATCACTATAGAATTGAAATCCCTGGCCACCTTGAAACCAGAAAGGCCTTTCCATTTGAATTCTAAGGCAGTTCTATTCCTGGTGCCTCCAGGAAAGCTGTGAGTGACCTGGTGAAAGCTTCTACTTTATAATAGGCCCAAGTTCCAGCTCTGAAAGTGGGGCTTTCTCCACTCAGACCTTAACAGTGGCTGATTCAGGCAAGGGTGACTTTCCTAGGCAGAATGTAACAAGGCTCTCGGAGAGCCCTAACCTCAGCAGGGAATCACCCTGCCTGTGTCTTCTGGACCCCACTCTCCCCCACCACATACACTCATACAGGACAGCAAGGCCTGGGTACTTGGTAGGTGCTATTCATACCTTACCTGCCATCTTCAGATACCTCGTCAACAGGACAGTTCCCACCCAAACTGACCAGGTGGCTCTCAGTTGGCAGTAAGGGGTTCAGACATACTCACCAGCTCTCCTTTGTCCCCTGGAAGACCATCAGAACCTGCAATGCCCTGAGGACGACACACTAAAGTTACCATTGGCTCCTGCCCACCTGAAGCCACTAGTCTATTATTACTGATCCTAATACTGAGACCCAAGTCCAGGCCAAGATCCTGTACTTGAAGGAGCTCCCAAAGCAACACAAGAAACCAAAAGCCACAGCCCAAGAGGATCACAAAGCTGAAGTCACTTATTTGCACAGTGAGGCTTTCCTGCTGGGTAGCACACCTCCATGTGTTATTCTAGGTATTATACAGAGAAGCTCTGGAACACCCGGAAAAGAGGAAGCAGTTGCTTCGAGGATAGACCGGAGCAGCTATCACAGCCCACCTGTTTCAGGGAGGAAAGGGCTTCAGAGAGAAGCCACACAGCTCTAACCTGCTTTTGCAACACAAGCCTTAGAGCCCAGGCTTTGCTTCTCTTCACTCCTTTGACAAAGCCAGTTTCCCTAATCAGAGGTAGCTTTTGTTTTTGTTTTTTTTTTTTCACCCAAGGGCCATATAGTGATCATTTAGATAACTACTGTACCCAGTAAAGCAGCTGACTCTGTCCCTTCTGATGCCCAGGGCTGTGCTAAGCAGGGATGGAAGAAAACAGAAGCAATATGGGGAGAGAAAGAATTGGAGGAGCCTCCCAAGAGTTTTGAAAGTAAATCCACAGCCAGATGGCTTAGAGCTGACCTGACCATGCCTGGGGCTTCTGCTCACCTGGTCTCCTTTAGGGCCTATGGCACCACCTGGACCCTGGGCAGAGAGAAGAATCTGGATTAGAGGAATCCTGGGGATCCCCACAGGGTGTCACTGCCCTGCACAGCAGAGGCAGGAATCCCACACAGAGTAGGCATAAAAATTTCTCCTATGGCAGGGGGCTCAGAACCAGACCCCAGCTCCAGCTGCCAAACCTAAGTCTATAGGTAAGAGCAACACACAGCCCTCCATGGCCCACAGGTCCTGCTGCCTGTCACTCCCAGTGGGCAATGGATTCTTTAAATCAGCTATTAATGTCTGTGACTTATGTGGCTCTCTCTCTCTCTCTCTCTCTCTCTCTCTCTCTCTCTCTCTCTCTCTCTCTCTCATTCTTTAAATCAGCTATTAATGTCTGTGACTTATGTAGGTATCTCTCTCTCTCTCTCTCTCTCTCTCTCACACACACACACACACACACACACAGAGCTATTTGCTTAAATGGTGAAGTATATGTTTAGAGGGCAAAAAGTATGAGGCTTCCTCAAGATCTAAAGGTGAAGCCTGGAGCAATGGCTCAGCCGTTAAGAGCACTGGCTGCTCTTATAGAGAACCTGGGCTTCGTTCCCAGAACCACATCAGGTAGCACACATCTGTAACTCCAGTTCCAGGGAATCAGACACCACCTCTGATATCCTTGGGCTCCTGCATGCACACAATACACATACATACATGTGAGCAAACATACCCATACACATCAAATAAGAATAAATCTTTTTTAAAAAGAGAATTCAAATGTGAAAGTAAAGGCAAGAGTTATCCAAGGAAGAGAACGCCAGAAAAATGCGCCCCAGCCCGAGACTGGAGCAGGCACTCACACTGCCGCCACCACCTTTCCCTCCATTAGCTTTGGGTCCTTGGAGTTGTTGGCAAGCTCCCTAACCCTTGGAATTTCCTGCCTGGAGGTTAATAAAGCACCTCTTGTTCCTGCTGTGTGGTGGTGGTTTCTGTGGCTCCCTGTGTCTGTAGAGGTGCCCTGGAGCCTCCAATGCCTGAATGCACACATCTTTAGAGTGCTTGTCCCTGCCCAGTGAGGACCAAGGAAGCAATCACATAGCCCCTAAAGTGTATTGGCCCAGGCCCTAGACCAGACCTCTAACCTCCTCCCAGGAGACCCCAAGTCTTACCTACTAACCAGTGAGGACCTCAGTAAGCCACAACTCCCCTAAG